CAGACTCATCAGCCGGGCAGAACCCGTCGTCTGTCGATCTTTTCATAGTCAGTTCTCTTGGGAGCGTCACACTCCTCATATATAGTTATCGACGACCTACGTTTTACACTCTATGCCAGGTGTCTATGTCATTCACCTAACACAGAGTGTTTTCGCACTCGATTGCTAGCTGGCTGGTATTTTATCATATTATACCTTTCCTTCGAGTGCTTTATTAAGACCCCTCATATATAGTTATCGAGGAGTGTGACGCTCCCAAGAGAACTGACTATGAAAAGATCGACAGACGACGGGTTCTGCCCGGCTGATGAGTCTGTAAGGACGAAACACGTGTCTCGGGCTGTACAAGAGCCTTTACCAGACCACATGACATGTTGGCTCAAATAATAATGAAAGGATCTATTGAAATTTGAGCGTGGTCTTAATAAAGCACTCGAAGGAAAGGTATAATATGTTTATGCACAGTTATTCAATTATGTCATGCTTCTATCGTTCAGTGTGTGTATTCGAAGCCATGTCTTACATCTCACTTACCTCTCATTGTGCTCACCTCACTAAGGATTTAAGATTCTAAATTGGATGGCACATATGGCACACACCTACCGACACTAGATGTAGCTAATGCAACAAATATTCTTGTTGAAATGGCTCTAACAGTATCTACATGACGTGAAAAGTGATTTTCTTGAGTGCATGTAAGAAACAAGAGTTGTAGTTATTGTAAATTCGATTTGAAATGCATTAGCTCTTATTGGCCGAGATCGTGAAGTGAGCAAATAGTATATCCCTTTGCGGAAAGCGCCACTTTTTGCTTGGTTGCGGCACGGACGGCAACGAAGAGAGGCAGCCGGCGCCTACTCCAAGGCTAACGCTGCAGTTTTATAATGATTTTCTGTCAATAAATTAGAAATATGCGTCAACAAGTGGTCAAATATGATTGAACAGATTTTGATAATGTTATTTTTGCCAAAAATTACGTAATTGCTCTATTCATAATCCACACTTTAAAATTGAAAATCCAAGCATCCATGAAAAGGCTATATTCAAAAGCTTTATTAAACATTTATACAATATTTAGTTTATACTTATCCACAACGAGTTAAATTTCTTTTAGTTTTCATATACTTTATTGCATAAAGTGCATAAAATTTATCATACTGGCTAAAAATCGGGAAACAATGGATAGATCATCGAAATAGTGCTGCTTATTACATTCGATCAATCTTGATCGCTAATCCTCAATACGTTCTTGATTATAAGTGCACATCAGATTCTATTTCTTTGAAGAATGCCTAATTTCGTTCAAATTCTTTATTCATAGCTATGGTATGCGATGAAGAAATAAAGGTAAAGCGGCTCTTTTCCGCTATCTCCACCATATCTGAGCCCTTGGGTAGAAATGTACTTCTTAGTTTTATCAAACGTCTTTCTGGTCATTCCCTATAATCAAGTGGATTTGAACGATGTATTCCATTCCCTAGAGGGCCTGTTTTCTTCGCTGTAACAGTGGAAAAAAATTTTGTTACACATACAAGCATCTCTCTCCGGGTAAAGGTTTTCGTGAGCAATCAATAACCCTTAGATGGAAAAATCAAAGAAATTTCAACGTTGCACCTGGTTTTTTGCCAAGACTTCTCGAAGTGCTGTAACACTCAAAAGCTGATTTGGTTTCGAAAATTTAAGTCATTTTCGATGTCCACATTTAGTCTTGACTGACCTCTTGGGAAAAACGAGTTTTCCGATCTTTTCGGAGTTATAATAGCCATGCGATAATTGACATCTTGAAAACTTTGATGGTATACTTCATTTCTAAGATTGCCTCCTTTATGCGTTCTAATAGTAAAAATCAAAATATCTTCCACACTCAAACATTTTCTGCTTAAGTTAGCTTTTCACTGAACTTTTGATAATTCTTCGGAAATTTAAATCTCGACATTTTCCATAATGATTTTATTTTTGAAAAGAACAGCTTATTGCACTGTAACAGTCAGAAGAAGATCACGTTTCGCAGTTACCTGATGCGTTAACAAAGACAAGGCGACTTGGGACCAATGTCCCTTTGTAGTGCAAAACCCAATATTCTTTTGATTGTCACAGCTTCAAAAAGAGTCCTATCCAAAAATAATCAAAATCTACCTCTTTGGAATCTCTGGAGTTTGCAATATCGAATGATTTTTTGTTTATAAAAAAAACTTTACCAGCGGGAAATCCTTAGACGTAAAAAAATTTGTTTCGACTCTTTCAACGCAAGAACCAAGCCATTTGGGAGACAAAATACACCGTTCAACTCACTTCACTTCAGCAATCGAATATGTACTAGTAATTTAGTGGAATTTTCTTATGAGCACAGTCCTTGAGATGCGACTGCATGTGACAGATATTACTTTCATAAGTAAGGATTTTCAAGACAGTTGGGCGTTATTCATTTTGGAAATACTTTTGCAAAAGCTCTTTCTATGCTAATTGAGTTTTTTTTTAACGAGAAAAAATTATAAAATTCGTAATCTAGCTATGTAATTCCTAGAATTTCTCTATGAATTAGAAAATTGAATCGCGATAGCATAGCGTTATCTTTTATTCATTATTAGAACGTTCTGTAGAACTACTTTCAAACAGCAAGCCTAGTTTTAGAATCAAAACTTTTCAAGCTATCGACTGACTGCAAAAACATTGAAAAGATAGGAGAAATTGTTCAAAATCAGTTGGAAATACACTTCCCTTTTGCGAGGATGTGGTTTTTCCTCCAAAAATGGCAAGATTTTGGGAAGCATTAGCGTGAATCGTGTTAAAATTATCCGTACAGAAGTCTCATCGTTGATGAATTATTGTTTTTTGAAGGTACTTCTTCTCTAGGAGCTTAATCAACTCGAAATATTATTGTAGCATGCATCATTCTTCGTAACCGTCCTCAGGGCGCGCCCAGCTAAGGGTCACAATAACCCTCATCGTCCGCAAAGGGATATAAAACGTATTAGTTGTTGTGAGAAGCGCTAAATTTACTCAGCATCATTCATATGTGAGAGTAATAAATCAGGCATATCATGTGGACTTACTTTGGTATATGTCTGCTTTAGATGTAGCCTGTAAGAAAAAGTCGAAAAGATGCAAAGTGGGCGAAGTCAGCGCTACAAACACAGCAGTTCGTATACAGAGACCGTTGATAATCATACGAAGCTCTACAAGAACTACGCTCTCGGCGTTGATCAATCTTTGAGGGTTGCGTCATCTCTCATCCTCAATTTATAACTTCGTTTGAAGTGAATGAATACATTTATCAGGGCCTTCGCAGTGACTCGCGGTAGCCTTCCGCTGTATTAAGTCAGTGCTGCTTGTTTTCCGTAGACAAGTCTGAGACCAGTCTGGCACCAATTAATCGACTCAGGAGTGATGGATGGCTTGGCGAACCACGCATGTGACACAGAGCACCTCTAGCTGCTGTGCCACATATCTTGCTGGCCCAAATACGATGTTTAAAATGCACGTATATGCGTAATCACATCTCTGCCTGAATTTTTTTAGTGGGGAATGTTTATACAACTTTGTCTATAGGTGGAAGAGTTAATGGCTGTTCTGTTGAGACGCTTTGAACGGCACTATTGAATGAGTACTTTTAGAATTCACAGTTCTTAAGTTAAAAGAGATCACTAGAAAGAATACAAACCGTGAAGACGGTAGTTCCAGCTACTCTCCCACCTTAATCACTTTTTTCTATAGACGTCACTTGTCGCAGCATGGCTGACAAGTCGTAGTTACACGAGCCACTAATCGCCGATGGGTCCTGCCGCCACGATTATGAATCGATATTTGGAGACGCGGCGCCATCCATGGGCATTGTTGGCGGCCGCAGTATCGAGAAGCCCACGTCACTCCCAGCCCGCTGCGTCTTCTGGTAAGTAATTCTTTTTATTAAATATTATCGGTTTATGCGCAGTCATGTGGTTGAGATTTCTGGCGATTGCATGGCTACTGTCTCATTGTTGTAAAGTGTTCTATTTTTTTCAATTTGCGAACATGAATATTTTCTTCCTTAAATCTTTTTTTGCTCTCGATTCGTTGTCTGTATTTCGCATGAAACCTCTCCATTTTTTATTCATTCATACAGAAACTCAACATATTCTCATAGTTTCTTGGAATCACAGTTGTAAGGTTTAATAGGCACTTTTTTTTTCGAAAAATAAGAGAATCTTTAAGCCTTTTTTGAATGCTTGATATACTGAATTTGGTCACATAGGCTGAAGAGTCCATAGAGTCACTCTTCTCAAATGGGTTAACATGCAAAAAATGATTGACAAACAAGTGCCAGCAAAGAGTGGTGATAAAGAAAGCGTCGATGGTGCAACGGGTTAGAGCACGCCTCCCCTGATAGGGTGGATGGAACGTGGATTTGACTCCCAGCTGACGCAAGAGTTTTGCACATCGCTCTCCATCATTGGGTATGCTTATAACATCATACCACCGCTAAAAGCGGTTGAACAGAAAAAAATCTGTTTGATCTTCCAAAAAATGTTCAGTTTTGACTTTAATTACAAAAAAATAGGTGTAGATATAGCCCTATGACTGTGTTTTGTTTTCACTGCGTGTTGCAATGAATCTCTACTTGTGCATGAATATTTCCCAACCGTACTCTTTAACAAAACATGGATAATTTCGATTCTTCTCACAATTTGTAGTGGTAGTTCGTTCCCAAAAAGAAGTTGATGCATTCGCTCTAAAATTTCTAGTCTTTTTACTGCATTTTTCGCAGTATTATGATGTTTCATACATACCTAAGAGAACTGAGTGGTGAGCCAAAGCACAACCTCACGCGGGAATCGAACCCGCGTTTCATCCGTACCCAGGACGCGTGTTGTCACCAGACCACCGAGATATATTCGCGGCGCCACTTATTCTTCAACATCTCTATGATAGCTGTCAGCCACCAACCTTTAACAGGTTTGATCGGGTATGCGAATCCGCTTTATAAACCCAGCTGAGCTGACAGCCAGTGATGGTGCGAATGTACCTCTGTGGTGTAATGGTAACACGCTTCTCCTGTATATATGAAACGCGGGTTCAATTCCCGTCTGAGGTCGTATTTTGCTCGTCACTCAGTTTTCTAAGGTATATAAGAAACATCATCACACTGCGGAAAATGCAGTGAAAATGCTAGAAATCTTGAGTAATATGCATTACAATGGTTGTCAGTTCAACTGGGTCTATGAAGTGAAATTGCTTAGCCGACTCCCCTCCACCTGTTAAAGGTTTGTGGCTCACAGTTATCATAGAGATGTTAAAGAATGAGTCGTAGTGCGAATGTACCTCGGTGGTGTAGTGGAAGCACGCGTTCCCGGTTTGGATGAAATGCGGGTTCGACTCCCGTCCGAGGTCGCATTTTTACATTCGCTCTGTATAAATATGATTTATGTTGAATGGCTGTGAGATTTTGAAGTGCTAAAATGTGTTCATGCTCATGAGAAGACCCTACCATCGTCATTCGCTTACGTTCTTCATTCCGTAGTCTTTTTATTATATCTCACTTGTTTCCTTAATCTCTGAGAGTCTCTTCGTAGGAGTTCTTCCGTCTAATTTATTAGCGGTGTTCTGTTGTCGCTATTCATATTTGACACTTGGAACAAGGTATTTTCCTTTTCAAAATTTTAGTAATCATGCGATAGTTCAGATATCAGTCGCTCCAATACTGCGTTTATTTCCTAAATAAGAGTTTTTGTTGCCAGCGGAAACAAACTTGAGTCTCACACTCGGCGCAAGCTATCGCGGTTGTTTCGTTATCTATTCAAATACCTTTTCTCCGTTCCGTAAAAATATCAAGGTTTTTCACATTGTTCTTAGGAATATCGAAGAAACCTTGTTTTGTCATTCTACGTGCTGAGGCTTCGATTTTCATTTTGATGAATGCCCCATTATTATCTTCGCACTTCGGCACCTTTCTCATATGAATTGTTATTTATTTAGAGAAGTCAATTAATCATCAGATATGATAACCATCACGATCAATAATTTCTGCTGGGCAGTGAATAAATGTCTTCCTCTTCGATATGTTGGGGCTGCCAGTCAAAGAAGTCGGCGAGGTCACGTCTGAGGCGATTGTAGTCTTTGAATTTTTCTCCCATAGATGCCTCTTCGGATCGAGAAAAAATAATTTTTGATAGAGCAATATTAGGTCTATATGTTGATGTGACACCGTGGAGCAGCGCAGTTTTCGAAGTGTGACGACTCGAGACCTCTGCAGTCGCATTTTCCAATAAACAGTTCTTCTCCAGGCAGCGTGAAATGGGTGGCGTCTTCTCGTCTCAATTCGCAAGTACACGTGCGTTATAGGTGCAGATCGCTTTTGTCCTATCGATTATGGCAGCCTAGTTTGTTTCTGAGATTTTAGCAGCCTCCTCGTGCTCGTCCTAGCCGACCCAAGCCATACAGGAGACTTTATCGGGGTCACGAAAATGAGACCGTTTTTGTTATTGCTTTCAACATTTTATACCCATTATATAGCTTGCTGAGCTCTGAACGTGGAGTACTCGCGTGTGGCTTGCCAACCTCTCCCAAAAGGACAGATCGAGCTTATTTCTTAGAGGGAATTTTTTAGCTGCTTCTCATATAAATCCCGAAAACTTGATTCCCGGCTTTTAGCCATTCTGATTTGGAAAGTAAGGGTCTATCAAATTTACGTTTAAGAATTATATGGAAAAAATCTCACCTGCAGTAAGAACTGATAAACCTTTATAGTCAATTTCAGAGGTTATTGGGGTTTATCAGTATTCCTTGATCAAATTATCGATGTTTGGCTTTTTCCTGTATTGCCAGCTGTATGGGAATTAGGTTTCTTCTGAACTTGTCGGTACTTTTGCAGTGTTAGTAAATGTTGCTTTTCAAATCAATGAAGTCACCGTAAAGAAAAGGCAATGATTATATACGTTAGAACTAGACGAGTGAAAAACACAATGCTTCGTTGATAATGATTTTAGTCACTTCCCCATATGTTTTATCAGTTACTAAAGGACGCCTATCTTCCATGGATTTGGAACCAAAAGTTAGGAAACAAGAACATAAAGAGACGTGATTTTGAAAAGATTCACAAAAATCTTGCTTAGTCATAAAACTATGCAAGTTTTCCAAAGACAAGCCGGCTTTATCGAAGAGACTCCAAGACCGCTCAAAGTTGCTTATCACCAAAAATAGTTAACCCGTCTGAGAATGCAATCGAAAGTTCTGCGTGCAGCTCTAATCTCAACGCGCGCAGTTTTTATTATCTGAATAGCATTTCTTTTCTTTCTCCGTCACCAAAGAGTTTTTTGCGTTTTTTGCATTGCTTTGAGAAATCACGGCTTACTCTACAAACTTATCCGCTTTTGATGCACGTATAGCTCTTTATGAGTGAGCAATGCGCTAGCTTAGTAGACAAATACGCTGTTTTTGAATTCATTCAGTTTTCGCAAGTTATACAAAGCACATTGCGATATTGACTTTTTGGGTCTGAATAGTTTTCATCACATACAATATCCAAAAGTTATCGCAGTTAATGCAAATGAGAAAACAATGGAGAAGACGATACCAGTTCATCGATAGCTATCCACAATTCAAATTATTCGTTCTCTTCAGGAGCTGGGATTTGTGTAGAGTTATGGAAAAACATTTTTTTATGGTTTTGAAATTTTATTTTTCTTCATATAATCACTTATGCTTACCAAGCATTATTAATCGTTGCAGCCTTTGCCACTGCACATGCTACTCATTTTGCTTGTTCAACGCATTTTATAGTCTATTGCACTCACAATTCCCTTTAACTCCGTCAAGATCCATCCAATCAAAAATGACTTTGATTTGACCACGTGGAGGTTATTGTAGCCGTCTATGAGTAGAACAGAGACCTGGTCTTCTCTGCCTTCCACGCTAACGGGTATGTGGCTAAGTAGTCTAATGTGGAAGGAAACTACTTTGACTCCCAACATGTCTTTTATTTGAGCTTAACTGATATACAAATAAATTTTTTCTATGCATTTAAAGAAAAGGACACAACTTGTTTGCTACCTATTATATTGATATAGCTTCCTTAAAGCAGTAAATGAAACCCGTTTTTAAAACCCGGAAATCTTCTGAATTTCCAACTAATCATGTTGCTGAAAAGCCATCTTTGCTTCAACTGTTCCAAATCATAATACAAAAACATTGCTTATTTTAACAGAATGGAGGATGGCCTGGTACGACCCTTTAATAGTATCCTAGCCTTATCTCGAAAACAACTGGTGTGCATCCAGATAAGAAAGAAATGTGAGTAAATTCTCATACCTCATAATCCTGACGCTGTCACCGATTCATTCCACTTGTTACACCGAAAAGGTTCCAATAAAATAAGAGAATGAAGCTGGCAAATTCTCTTTACATCTCCCAAGTCCTGTGCTAATGGAATAACTTTGATGTAATCTCGAGCAGGTGTTTGTGGCTTCCATCAGTAAAACACAGACTTTGTTTGTCCTGCCTTGCATGAGTATCCTTCTCCACGTTCAGCGCTTGCATGCATATACTTTGCTGAGTTTCAGGAATCATTTAAGGTTCATATACAAAATGGCATCGCGCAAAATCTCCGTGCAAAAAGCTACAAACGCAACTAGAATAACCACTAAGTACTACATATTTTTCATTTGTTCGTTGTTGGTTCTCAACATTGGCTTTCTTCGGAGACATTCCCTTCCGAAGTGGTCAACTGACAAATATGCGAGTCAATTTGACCTTTTCGAGTTTTGATGAAAAGAAGCGTTTAAAACTCTGGCCATTAGTGTATTTTATGTGCCCAATCACATCAGGAGGACAATGATAGAGGGTTATCGGTAAATGGTCGTAGAAGGAGTCGTTACCCTGAATCTTGCCCTACTCTTTGGTGACACGGAAGTGTGCAAGAAAACGAAATACCTAGGCAAAAGAAACTATTCGACTCCTGTATACTCTGCTTGTCCAATATTTAGAGGTTGATTGTAGATTCGATGCGCCGTGGCCGAGTGGTTGTGATGCTCTTTGGCGCGCGCGCGCGGAGCTGGACCCGCTCTTAACATTCTCTTGCGGTAACAATGAATACCCTATGGAATGCTACAGTTAGGCTATCTTCGAGACTGCTAGAAGACGCGCTTTGCTAGTATTGTACAACGTTCAAGAAGAAAACGAAGAGGCGAAATGAATGCTAGGAGTACTGGGATGCGCGCAGTGAAAAAAAAAAACCAACGGTCAGATCAGGTCAATGAAGTGTCAGAAGGTTATCGTTGAACAGATAAATCTATGGCGATCAAAATAATGATCACTGGAAAAAGACCCCCAAGTCTCGCAACATAATCTGCAAGAATGCTCCTTAAGGGTAGTGTCATGATCACTCCACCCCCCCCCCCATAATGTTGTTTTTCTAGTGGAAAAACGAATTGTTAGGATGCATGAAAGTTTTGTACCAAAAATTGCTCTGGGAATGTCATTTTAGTGACATTTCTTTTTATATGAAGCTAATGTGCCTCTAACATTCGACTTTGCTATGTAACTGCCAACAAAACCCGTTCAAGGAGCGGATTTGCCTGCCTCGAAAGTAAAGCGTACATTTCTACTCGTTGGTGCTTCGCACTGAGAAGGTCTTTTACATTGCCACATTTAGTACCGAAATCTCCATTTTTCAAGCTATCGAGTGACTGTCGATAGTGAAATGAAAGAGTAAGAAAGTACAACATTCTGGTTGTATAAAGTAAAAATCCAATGGTCTGTTGTTGATTGGTACTTGTGTATAAGCAAAAATAATTGTAGTCAGTTGGTACTGAATGTATAAGTTTTTGAATATCAAATAATTTGAGTAGAAAATCTATACATCAGTAAAAAATTCCAAAAATCTGAGGGCGAAAAAGTAGCACTGTTTTTGAAAAGGCGCTCCATAAAATAAATGTTAACTTTATCAAGGCTTGCACCGACTAAATATTGAAAATCCTTCGAGCAAGTACCCTGTAAATTCAGAGATTGTGGAACTGTGTTTTCGACTTGGATTCTCATTCGCAAAGAAATGTGAAGAAAGAGATGGAAATACACTGTTATATAAAGGACGCAGCTTTAGTATTGAGTAGGAACTTCCAGGATCAGTGGAAATTCTTATTAATGAAAATGCGCTTGCAGAGACTACTTCATGACAACATATCCTTTCATGGCGATAAAGCTTTCACAGAATCAAAATTTTCCTATATAATTGACAAAAAACCTGGTATAAAGTTCAAAAATAGAGCTACTTTCGTTAAAAGCAACTCATTTGTTTTTTCCACTGCAGATCATGAGATTTTTGCCACGAAGCAAGATTGATAGCAACATCAGCATTTTTGATCCATCGAATGACTGCACACTGAGAAAAAAATGTT